ACCTCACTCCTTAATTATGCTCATCACTATTACTAACATTATAGACACCATAGCCCTATCACACTCTTCACCACTCTTATATTCGTCATCACTATTAGAACAATCATTGACCACCATAGCCTGCGTTTGATGCTCATACAGTTATCAACACAAGTATTATATATTCGTCATTACTGTGATTAAGTCCACCACCACCACCTTGTTCAGCAGCCTTACACTTGCTTTAACATATTGTGACCAATCTTGTTTATTGGTACACTCTCCACATCTTTCCTTGTGTGTTCAATTGTTGTTTCAGGAAAGGTAACTGTTGTGTTCCAGTTTTTTTATGCGCGGAATCAGGTTGTATACCACAGGGAGCAAGAACTTGGAACATCTGGAGACGTGTGAAATGTCCCGGTCAGTGGAGCTATTTGGCTGACTGTCAGCTGATCCCAGCTAGGTGGTTATTGACAGCCGATGTGATGGGGGTTGTTGACGTGCTCCCCAGTGAGGTGCCTCAACCCCATTGTCTGAGGGCAGGCATGAGCCAGTCTTCAGACCGAGGTACCTGGTTAGTCCTGGGGGGCCATTATGAGGGGTTATACAGGGTGAAGTGCGGATTGGCTGCGATGCGATCAGCCCTCCACACCTGCAGTCAGCATGAGCTGCTGTCTGTGACTACTGAGGTCTTACAATTGATACATGTTTAGCAACAGTCTGTTGCTGTTTGATTTAGCATAAACCGTTCAGAAGGATGAGCAATTGAACACACTGCACACCAGTGTGATTAGATGGGCATTTCCTGGCGATGTGGCCCCAGCGTTGACATTATAACAATCGACGTTGAGGAGGTCTGTACAATGCAATGTAATAGCGTCTGTTGGGGCCTGTGCACGGGAGTGAATATAGCGTGGGCAGAGTCCCCTGGCCAGTCCATCAGGCTAATATCAGAACCGTTGGAAAGTCGACGAGGGCTTGCAACTTGCTCTGACGCCAGATATTGAGGATTCAAGTGCTTGTTTGACGTTGTGGATGACAATAAGCATTTAGGTTGCCCTGGTGGGGAGCTCGGAGGTTTGATGTTGCATATTCGTGAGGTAGAGAAGAAAGTTTGTCTATAAATGCTGAATCATTAGGCACAAAGACGTAGTTATCCTCTATCGCGGACAAACTGATCGTTTTCTCTGATTGTTTACAATAGCTGAAAAACCAGTTAAATTGGTCTCTTGATCAGTGTTGTCAGGGAAATCTAACCTGACAGCTTTGGGAGGATGTTGTGCGCCCACTGTATTGCTTCAAGCAAGCTTTCTCAGGAAGCCTCGTTCTTATTTCCGAGCCCTGTTTACTAAAATATGTTTCAAATCTGCCTCACCATCATCTACGTTCAAACCATCAGCTATTACTCATGCTGGACAGGAGTTTCACACTGGCGATGGGATAAAGGATACCGGTGAATAGAAGGGACAAGGAAGGGATATTCACCTCGCTAGACAAGGCAATGTGGGTTAGTGGCCTGCGGGGCGCAGTGCGATTTTTCAAAGGTCATTCACGGGGCCACAGTAGTCTCGAGAGTTACCAATATTGCACCACTCATTAATTACTCGAAACCAGCAGCACTTCTTACCACAGCTAGCCCACGTGTCTCTGGAATGACAGCAAATTTTCACTCTGTGGACAAAATAAATCAGCACAAACTTAATATGTTTATGAATGAAACTTGGCTTGTTACAGTTAAAAAGCTGGTTTAGCCTGGTTCGGTTTTTTAAACTCGCCCTTATCATCATATGTTTAGATAATGGCGACAGTGCTAAGGGATACCGAGTGAATAGGAAAGTCGAGGAAGGGACATTTCACCTCATGGACACACGGCAGTATGGGTGTTAAGTGGGGGGCACCAATGGCGAGTCTTTATAGTGCCATTTTCAAGGTCACCAGCAGGCAGATTCCCTCACTCATTTTAAGCCTAGTTGGTACTGATGGTAGCACAATGTCATAAGTCAGTGAAATCCACTCGTGCAAATAGTTACACAAATCTGCAGCAATTAACACAACCACTAGGTATTTGCTTGTAGCAGGCAGGTAGGCACACAGGAGACTTCGTAAGGTGAGTGGAGTGCGGCACAGAGGACTGACACGGCATCAAGCATTTATGTGGTCTGGAAAAAAACCGCCTCTAGACCATAAGTAAATAGAGGCGAATGGCTGAGTTCCAAATCGAGGAGGGAGGGGAGGGAGGCAAGGTGGAGTGAAGGTGTAGCCTCCTACAGCCACTTCAAATCAAGATGTTTGTGTTTCACTAGGTATATCACTAGTCACAGTTCACACATAAGAGTTCCAGCAGCAATTCAGCTGCGCTCCAACGATATTTGTTGCATGATGAGTTATCAGTCGGGTGAGATAAGCAGTTCTGATATAGAAGGCCTAGGACTTCCCTCTACACACACACGTCCTCTCCCCTCAACCACTCAGGCCTAACTGCCAGGAATCGCGGGAAGAACTAAAAGCCATAAATAAAATCGAAAGAAACCCAAAGTATTTCTTCTCCTATGCCAAATCAAAGTCGAGAACAACGTCCAGTATTGGGCCCCTACTTAAACAAGATGGGTCCTACACAGATGACAGCAAGGAAATGAGTGAGCTATCAAGTCCCAATATGACTCAGTTTTTAGCAAGCCGCTAACCAGACTGAGAGTCGAAGATCAAAATGAATTTTTTATGAGAGAGCCACAAAATTTGGTTAACACAAGCCTATCCGATATTATCCTGACGCCAAATGACTTCGAACAGGCGATAAATGACATGCCCATGCACTCTGCCCCAGGGCCAGACTCATGGAACTCCGTATTCATCAAGAACTGCAAGAAGCCCCTATCACGAGTCTTTTCCATCCTATGGAGAGGGAGCATGGACACGGGGGTCGTCCCACAGTTACTAAAAACAACAGACATAGCCCCACTCCACAAAGGGGGCAGTAAAGCAACAGCAAAGAACTACAGACCGATAGCACTAACATCCCATATCGTAAAAATCTTTGAAAGGGTCCTAAGAAGCAATATCACCACGCATCTAGAAACCCATCAGTTACACAACCCAGGGCAACATGAGTTTAGAACAGGTCGCTCCTGTCTGTCTCAACTATTGGATCACTACGACAAGGTCCTAGATGCACTAGAAGACAAAAAGAATGCAGATGTAATATATACAGACTTTGCAAAAGCCTTCGATAAGTGTGACCATGGCGTAATAGCGCACAAAATGCGTGCTAAAGGAATAACAGGAAAAGTCGGTCGATGGATCTATAATTTCCTCACTAACAGAACACAGAGAGTAGTCGTCATCAGAATAAAGTCCGAGGCAGCTACGGTGAAAAGCTCTGTTCCACAAGGCACAGTACTCGCTCCCATCTTGTTCCTCATCCTCATATCCGACATAGACAAGGATGTCAGCCACAGCACCGTGTCTTCCTTTGCAGATGGCACCCGAATCTGCATGACAGTGTCTTCCATTGCAGACACTGCAAGGCTCCAGGCGGACATCAACCAAATCTTTCAGTGGGCTGCAGAAAACAATATGAAGTTCAACGATGAGAAATTTCAATTACTCAGATATGGTAAACACGAGGAAATTAAATCTTCATCAGAGTACAAAACAAACTCTGGCCACAAAATAGAGCGAAACACACAACGTCAAAGACCTGGGAGTGATCATGTCGGAGGATCTCACCTTCAAGGACCACAACATTGTATCAATCGCATCTGCTAGAAAAATGACAGGATGGATAATGAAAAACCTTCAAAACAAGGGAGGCCAACCCCAATGATGACACTCTTCAGGTCACTTGTTCTATCTGGCGGGAAATATTGCTGAACACTAACAGCACCTTTCAAGGCAGGTGAAATTGCTGCCCTTTAAAAAATGTACAGAGAACCTTACGGCGCGCATAAGGAGGAAAAAAACCCCTCAATTATGGGAGCGCTTGAGGTTCCTAAACCTGTATTCCCTGGAATGCAGGCGGGGAGATACATGATTTATACACCTGGAAAACCCCTAGGGGACTAGTACCGAACTTGCACACGAAAATTACTCACTACGAAAGCAAAAGACTTGGCAGACGATGCAACATCCCCCAATGAAAAGCAGGGGTGTCACTAGCACGTTAAGAGACCATACAATAAGTGTCAGGGGCCCGAGACTGTTCAACTGCCTCCCAGCATACATAAGGGGGATTACCAACAGACCCCTGGCAGTCTTCAAGCTGGCACTGGACAAGCACCTAAAGTCGGTTCCTGACCAGCCGGGCTGTGGCCCGTACGTTGGTTTGCGTGCAGCCAGCAGCAACAGCCTGGTTGATCAGGCTCTGATCCACCAGGAGGCCTGGTCACAGACCGGGCCGCGGGGGCGTCGACCCCCGGAACTCTCTCCAGGTAAACTCCAGGTATGAGGGAAAGACAAACGAAAAGTTGGAAGAAAAAATTTCTGGCAACCACTTTAAGGAAATACCTAATAACAATATGAACAAGAAATACTTATTCCTTGGTGTACATATTGTACAGTGTTTGTATTGTGAAATATAAATTATTATTATAATCAAAAAAGAAGCACTAAGCCACAAGGACTATACAGCAAGTGAAATATAAAGTAATGACTGAGTTCTGTCGAGTAGTAATTAAGAAGGTAAATTTCTTTAGGTTCAATTTTACACAATTTTAAATTACTATATTAGTCTTATATACTATCATATGTGTAAAATAACTATCACATGTGTAAAATACTGAGGATAAAGGCCAAAAAAAAAAAAAATCCACAGGTTTGAGCTAAACCTGTGGAACCAAATTTTCCTCAAAGATTTGTTAAGTCATACCATGACCTAAGGAAAGATACTAGTAGACTTCACCTTACGAAAGCAGACAAAGTAAATGCGAAAGTAATTATGGACAAGGTAGATTACAGTGGAAAAAATGAACATGTTATTAGAAGAGAGGGGAACTTACGTGCCTCTTAAATAAGTGTTGCGCGTGGCGGTGGTGACTTGTCTCAGTGTTTACAGGACAGTCACAGCAGCTTCAGCACCTGGGATGTCTGCTGTTGCAACACCTACCATAATTGTGCTATAACCCTGTGTTCCACGTCACTTAACCATGTTCAGTACATCGAGTAGCGTCCTGCACAACCAAGTGAGTACCAGTACGTGTTGTACAACCAGGCAGTTTAGTCACCTGTGCTTTTCTAAGTGACCAGCACAATGCTTCCACTGTAATACTTGTTAGTAGATTTTTTTTTTTTTTTTTTGGGGGGGGGGTATTGTTAACTTGGAGAATTAATAACCCACTATGTCCTAAACTGCACAAGTTATTTTCTTTGCACATGTCTAGATGTTTCGTCCACCCAGCGATGATAAAAATCCTTGGTGGACGTAATATAAGAACATAAGAAAGAAGGAACACTTCAGAAGGCCTACTAGCCCATGCGAGGCACGTCCAAGTCTCCTACCGGCTTAAGCCAATGCCCCAACCTAGTCAGGTCAAGTCACATTCACTTAAGGAAGAAGCACGACATCTGACCTAGTAGTACAAGCTAGTCACGTCCAACTCACACCCACTCATGTGTTTATCTAAGCCATCTTTAAAACTACACAACGTTTTAGCCTCTATAACTGTACTCGGGAGTTTGTGCCACTCATCCACAACTCTATTACCAAACCAGTGCTTTCCTATATCCTTCCTGAATCTGAATTTTTCCAACTTAAAGCCATTGTTGAGAGTCCTGTCTAGGCTAGATATTTTTAGCACACTATTTACATCCCCTTTATTTATTCCTGTCTTCCATTTATACACCACAATCATATCCCTCCTAATTCTATGCCTTTCTAGAGAGTGCAGATTCAGGGCCCTTAGTCTATCCTCATAGGGAAGATTTCTGATACATGGATCATCTTTGTCATCCTCCTCTGTACGTTTTCCAGAGGATTTATATCCATTCTGTAATACGGTGACCAAAACTGTGCAGCATAATCTAGATGAGGCCTAACCAAGGATATATAGAGTTGAAGAACAACTTGAGGACTCTTATTATTTATGCTTCTGTTCGCTTTATTGTGAACACTTATGCACTGTTGTCTTGGTTTTAGATTACTGCTAACCAGAACTCCCAAATCCTTTTCGCAATCAGTAATATTAAGATCTACATTTAGTTTATATGTGGCATGGTTATTTTCCTGTTCAATGTTTAGAACTTTGCATTTGCCTGTATTAAACTGCATCTGCCACTTCTCCGACCACTGCATCAGTTTGTTCAAATCTTCCTGGATTGCTCTGATGTCCTTGTCAGAATGAATTTGACTGCCTATTTTGGTGTCATCGACAAACTTGCTTATGTCACTAATTATTCCGTCATTTGTCGTTTTTGTAGATTGTGAACAACAAGGGGCCCAACACTGGCCCCTGTGGAACATCTCTCGTGACGTTTCCCCACTCTGATTTCTCCCCATTTATGCAAACTCTCTACTGCCTATTTGTCAACCATGCCTCTATCCAGGAAAAAATTTCTCCTATTCTGTGTGCCTTAATTTTCCTCAATAGTCTATGATGTGGGACGCTATCAAAAGCCTTACTTAAGTCCATATACTACACAATATCATATTCATTACCATGATCTACTGCCTCAAATACCTTAGTGTATATTATTATGGCTCGGTTGATAGCTCACTTACCTCACACATTGAGTGTCTGTGGTTTGATCTCCGACACAGGTGAAAACGGGCATGTTTCTTTACACTTGCTGTCCCTGTTCACCTACCAATGAGTAGGGGTACTTGGGGTACTGTACTGTGGGGTCGCATCCTGGGGTTAAAGAACCCCAGTGGAAATAAGACAGACAGTCCCTGATGATGCACTGACTTTACAGGGTTATCCTGATTGGCTAACCATCCTGGTTAAAAATCAGAGCAAAATCTTAACATATCACTTTATATGCATTTTCAGCTCATTTCCATTGAGTGCTCTTTGATTGTTTTTCCCAGGCTGAGGCCTGCAGCTGTCACTTCGAGAACATGCTTTTTTAAAGTCTATAGAGAATACATGATTAGGATAGGCATGTATAGTCAGGAGAGCAGGTAAAGAAACCATGTGGTATAAATCTGTCAGTGGTATGTGTGTGTGTGTGTGTGGAGCATGTGAGCCAAGGGTCTCACCTCAAGCATGTGAGCCAGTCCTACCATGAGAAACATATGAGCCAGGGGTCCACCATGAGGAGCACATGAGCCACTCATACCTTGAGAAACATATGAGCCAAGGGTTCCACCATGAGCAACATATGAACCAAGGGTCTGACCATGGAGAGTACATGTATATGAGCCAAGGGTCCCACCTTGAAGAGCATGTAACCCAGGGGGCCACCCTAAGGATCATGTGAATTAGGGGTCCCACCATGAGGAGCATGTGAGCCAAGAGTCTTCCCTAAGGAACATGTGAGCCAGGGGTCCAACCAACTGAAACCTTGTCATTGTTGTTGGAGTTATTAAGGGCCATACTTAAAGCTTATACCCTATTGAGCCCTGCTTCCTGTATTTCATCTATGTAACATTGTTGTTGAGGTGGTTGTTGAGGTGGTTCGGACATGTGGAGAGAATGGAGCGAAACAGAATAACTTCAAGAGTGTATCAGTCTGTAGTGGAAGGAAGGCGGGGTAGGGGTCGGCCTAGGAAAGGTTGGAGGGAGGGGGTAAAGGAGGTTTTGTGTGCGAGGGGCTTGGACTTCCAGCAGGCATGCGTGAGCGTGTTTGATAGGAGTGAATGGAGACAAATGGTTTTTAATACTTGACGTGCTGTTTGAGTGTGAGCAAAGTAACATTTATGAAGGGGTTCAGGGAAACCGGCTGGCCGGACTTGAGTCCTGGAGATGGGAAGTACAGTGCCTGCACTCTGAAGGAGGGGTGTTAATGTTGCAGTTTAAAAACTGTAGTGTAAAGCACCCTTCTGGCAAGACAGTGATGGAGTGAATGATGGTGAAAGTTTTTCTTTTTCGGGCCACCCTGCCTTGGTGGGAATCGGCCAGTGTGATAAAAAAAAAAAAAAAATTTCTTAACCTAGGATCAACTGCTGAGATTAAACTGACTTATTTTTGTTGGGTCCTTGTCAAAGTCAAATTTTATTTCCGAGAATTACATATTGTTGATTCAGCTCTGAAATTATATCTTTTTTTTTTTTTTTTTTTTTTTAACATTCTTAAGAAAACCTTTTCTTAATCTTATGCAAAGTATTCCAGACAGACTAAAATTAGTACAGTGGAACCTCAGTTGTCGAATTTAATTTGTTCCAGATGTCGATTCGACAACCAAAATGGACAACAACCAAAACAGTTTTTCCCATAAAGAATAATGTAAATAGAATTAATCCTTTCCAGACCTCAAATAACAGTATAATAATTTATTAACCCTTAAACGGTCCAAACAGATCGATGTTCAAATTCGTATTGCTACAAAAGTAGATCTACTTTTTTTTTACATATTTTCAAATATACCAAAAAAAAAAAATGTAGATAAAAGTTTTTTTTACACGTTTTCAAATGTAAAACAAAAAAGATCTTCATTTTTTACATACTTTCAGATGTTGAAAAAATGTATATATACGTTTGGACCATTAAGGGCTAAAAATGTACTAATTAGTACAAAAACCTGTAAAAATAAATACTAAAAGAAACTTTAACTGAAATACTGTACAGTAAATGAAATTTAACTGCTTCTTACCTGTCAAAGGAGAGCTACTGGCATACTAGAAGCAGAAGGTGGAGGAGAGTCTCCTATTAATGTCAGGCAACTGCCCTTCTGATGTTGTTTCTCTTCTTTGTATCTTTTCACCACTAACACCTTGTTCTGGCTCACTGGTTCTTTGTCTCAATAAAAGCCTGTCCAGTGAGGTTTGTTTCGGGCTTTGTTTTAACACTTGGGTAAATTGAGACCTTATGCTGTCATTGTACATGTTAGACAGATGGCCACTGCTTTGGATGGTATTTTTCAGCAAACTCCTGCACTTCACTGCATCTAGCACACATTTCCTTGACAAGGGCAGTAGGCACATCATCCCTTCCCTCCTCTTCCTCTGATGACAGCTCCTCCGCTGCAATCTATTGCTGCTCCTCTGAAGGTCTACAAGTTTTTCTGTGGTGAGTTAAGTTCTATGCTCCTCCACCCACCCCTCCACATCATCCTCAGTCACCTCTAGGCCCATGGTCTTCCCCAGGGACACAATATCCTCTACCAGTTCAGGCTCACCTTCAAAACTTTTAAAATCCCTGGCTGCCACAAAGTCAGGCAACAATTTCTTCCATGCTGACTGTATGGTCCTGGAAGACACATTCCCCTAGGCTTTGTCTATAAGCCTCAAGCAGGTGAGAATATTGAAATGGTCCTTCCAGAACTCCCTGTGGGTTAAATTTGTTTCTGAAGTGATTTCAAAACACCTTCCAAAAAGTGCTTTCCTGAAGTTAGAAATGACCTGCTGGTCCATGGGCTGGATGAGAGGAGTGGTGTTAAGAGGCAAGAACTTCACAGTCATAAAACTGAACTCCTCCAGGAACTCGTTTTCCAAACTTGGAGGGTGAGGGGGAGCATTATCCATCAGTAAAAGGGCCCTGAGTGGTAATTATTTTTTAATGAGGTACGTTTTGACAATGGGGATTATAAGGGAACACTGTATCAACATCCGGGGTCCCAGACTATTCAACATCCTACCAGAAGATATCAGAAACATGGCTGGAACAAGTGTAGAAGCCTTCAAGAGGAAACTGGGCAAGTATATTCACCAGGTGCCAGATCAACCAGGCAAGCACCAGATGAGCCTGGCCCATGGCCGGGCTCAGAGAGTAGATAAACTCTCAAAACTCTTCAAAGGTATATCAAAGGCAAAGGGAGCAAATACCTCATGAACTCTCTCAATAAAAAATTGTCTTGTTACCCAAGCTTTCATGTTGGCCCTCCACATTACAGTCAGTTTGTGTTCCTTAACATTATTCTTAAAAACTTGTGGATTTTTGGAATGATAAACAAGTAAGGGCTTCAATTTCAAGTCTCCTATGCTGTCAACTCATTGTTCAGTGCGCATTCTGTGAGGATATGACCCGAGCCATTTGTGTTGTTGGTTGACAACCAAGAGAACATATGAAAACCAGGACAGGTTTTTCTCAAATTCCTCATTCAAAAACCAACCTGTTCAAGAAGTAATGCAGCCAACATCCAAGGTTCCACTGTTCCACTGTAGCCCAGAACCTAACCTGCTTATACAGCAGGTTAGGTTCTGGGCTACTGCTGTAAAGTGAAAATCGCTGTAATTTGAAATACATAAGGCCTTTTTTTTTATTTTAAATGTATATAAAAGCCTGATAACATGTTTACAGTATCAAATATTAACCCTTTGACTGTTTACACCGTATAAATACGTCTTACGCGCCACTGTTTCTGACGTATATATACTCAATAATTCTAGCGGCTTCAAATCAAGCGGGAGAAAGCTGGTAGGCCCACATGTGAGAGAATGGGTCTGTGTGGTCAGTGTGCACCACATAAAAAAAATCCTGCAGCACACAGTGCGTAATGAGAAAAAAAAAAACTCCGACTTTTTTTGGATTAAAACGCCGACTTTGAGGTGTATTTTCATGTAGTATTTATCGTTGTATTCTCGTTTTCATGGTCTTAGGTGATAAAATGGAAAACATATTACAGAAATAGAGATGATTTTCATTACTTTCACGATGAAAACGACCTTGAAACTGAGCTCAAAGTAGCGGAAATGTTCGATTTTCACCAATGTTCAGGGGTAAGCAAATCACACCACACGTCCAATACATGTCAACTGGGGAGTCTAATATTCTTTCACTAGTGCACTGATATTATTTATACCATTTTTACAATAATGCAGTAGTCTGCATAGCAGTAAATTTTGTATATTTTTGTATGAATAAAAAATCAAAATAGAAAGCAATAGTAATATAAGAGGGGCCTAGAGATGTGACTAATGAACAGAGGATATGTTATTTTAGTGCCAAGAATGTCTACATTGTTTATTCTGGACCCTATTTTGAAATTGGCATTTTTTTCATTTTGCGTGAAATTGGCCAAATTGTCAATTTCTGACCACTTTATTGGGTAGTTCAAATTGGTAAATGGGCAGTTTCTTGTACTCAACTGATAGATAAAATGGAGTTCTAAAGAAATAGCTATGAGTTTGGTCAACTGGAACAACGTAATTGGCTAAAAGCAGGGCTCAAAGTCGGCGAAATCTCCGATACGTATATGTCGCCGAGACCGCTGACTTCGCGGGAGCGTAATTCCGTGGGTTTTCAACCAAATTTCGCACTTTTGGTGTCATTACCATCAGGAAAAGATTCTCTATCATTTCATAAGAAAAAATAATATATTTTTTTTTTTTTTTTTCAAAATTTTGCGACATAGAATGACAGTTTCAGAAAGGGGCCTGCGACAGTCAAAGGGTTAAGTAGGCAATAGAGGTAGGCCTAAAAAATACATATACAACCTCTCCTCGCTTAGCGATGTACTCTTTTACTGACGACTCAGACTTTCAACGGGCTCTCTGACCAGCATGCATTCCTAAATAATATATAATTGAAAACCACTGCACTAGTGAAATGCCGTAAAGTGAAGCATTGTAAAGTGAGGCCCTCCTGTACAATACGAACTAATTAATACTACACTGTACTTGAGGTATCCCATCTGTGTTTAACTTTTCCAGTGGTTGAAACTCCTGCTACCTGCATTTTGATCCCATTCTGGTATTCTGTTAATGTTTGTAAATATAAAAACTGTATTGTATCCTTTATGCCTTTTTTTTTCCTTGGTTTACAATTGTGATTTCTTCTCCCTGTTGAGGCTGCTTAGAAATCATCTTTATTTGTCCTGAGAAGTTTGAAAGAAAACACTAGTACTGTATAATAAACTTTAATCATTGTTTCCCACTGAAATCATCATCACTGCCACCTGTTTAATCTTGAAGTACATATAAGCAGTTCTTAGTGATAAGAGTAGTGTAATTCTTGGTCTTTTGAAGTTAGTGATTACCTTCCTTTCCCTAGGGGCTATGTAGTTTCTACAGGTTTAATGCTTACCATGAATTTAGTAATTAGTAATAATAAAATGTCTTTTACTTATTCAGGTTGTGTTGCCACTGTCATACGTTGTGTCACAGTATTCTGGGGTGAGACGGGGTCAGCCCAAGACTAAAACTCCAACTCAGAATGGAGGCCATAAAGTTCCCACAGTCAACATTATGTGCTGTGAATGTCAGACTGAGGTAATGAAGATGGCAGCTTAACATTTATTAGTAATAATGGTAGAATTACCGACAAAATGTTGTCCATTGTGTTGCTGTGTTCGACAGTAATAATGGTAGAATTACTAATTGACGGACACTGCAACTTAATACTATATATTCCCAGGTTTATATAACCTCAGCTAGTTTAGCACATGAATTTTATTTTTATGTTTCCCTTATTGAGTAATGCTATAGTAGCAGTTTTTTTTATAAATAATAAGCTTAAAGGTCACTGATTAAAAATGGCATTAAAGTAACTGCAGTTGTGCTATATTGTCTTTTAACTCTTAAACTGTCCAAACATAGAGCTATGTTCACGTGCGAAGCGCTCCAATCGTAGATTTACGTTTTATTTTACATTCAACCTTGGCACAATAAGGCTGAGTTGCCTAGACATGAGAGAATGAGTCTGTGCACTCAGTGTGTGCAGTGTGACAAAATTCAGGGATGCTGGGAAAAATGTGCTCTTCATTTAAAAAAAAAAAAAAAAAAAAAAAATCCCAAAATATTCAGAGCGGTACGCAAGTGAATGCTGATCTACATTTGGACAGTTTAAGAGTTAAGAGGCAGGTGGACGAATGTTACAGACTCATGGAAAGTTTTGAAAATACTTTAAAAATATTAAATGTAGTATAGTGTTTATATACGATATTTTATTATGATATTTCTAAGATAATTATAGTTAATTTTTCCATTTCTAAGATAATTATAGCTATTTTTTTCCAAATTTTCATTGTTAGAATAAAAAATACATACTGTATAGTATATATATTTATGAAAAATAATTCATTGGTATCTTGCATTGCAGAAACTGGAGGTTACTGGGTGTAAGGGCTGTGTGTATTTCAATGTGGTAGCAGCCACAGTGCAGATAGGAGCTCTCCTGCAAATTGTATTATTTGTGATTTAAAATGTAGCTAAGCTGTTAGTATTAATTTAATATAGGTACTTGATTTTTTTTATATAATGTTCATAATATATTCTACTACAGGTCTGCAATCAGTAATCCGGTTCCATCAGTAACCCGGCACTAATTTCAGCTACCAACCTGCTGCTACTGTTTAGTGGCACTACCTGCTACATAAGTCATTCCAACTTCTTTTTTTGCCATTTATTGTTATAACCTGCTCACTTTTAGCCCTAGCCATGGTTCCAATGAATAAAAGAAATGCTTCTTGTTATGTAAAGCACATACACTGTACATTGTTCATAAAAGATAAGGTAACTTTGAAGTCACTGTTGGTCGCCATGAGCTAAGCTCACTCAGATAAGCTGTGACCGGTAAATTTGGGCCTACATAAGAGAGAATAGGTCTTTGTGGTAAGTGTGCACTATATAAAAAAAATCCTGCAGCACGCAGTGCATAATGAGACAAAACTGCGACTGTGTTTATGGTGTAAAACAGCAGCTTTGAGGTATATTTTGTATGGTTTTTATGGTTGTGGAACCCAGTTTTAGTCTTTAATTCATTCCAGAAGGTCGACCGAAAACCGATTTGTACGAAAACTGAAGTAATATTTCCCATAAGATATAATGTACAATAAATCCAATTAATCCGTTCCAGACACTCAAAAATATTAACAAAAAATACATTTTATAGAGAATAACTATAGTTTTACATACAGAAAACAATGAGAAATAAATATAAAGCACTAATGAAATGAATAAATGAACATTTAAGTCACTATTACCTTTATTGAAGACTCTTGTTGGTGCATGGAACACAGGGAGAGGGAGGAAAGGTTATCTCTACCACCATCACTACCACCCTCTACCACAATCACTACCACCCTCTACCACAATCACTACCACCCTCTACCACCACCACAACCACTACCACCATCACTACCACCCTCTACACATAACAAAGGCAGACTGAGTCATGACCATATGAGCATTTGCGTCCTGCGAGCAGGCAGACACGTCTGGTACGAATGATTTCCGAGCAGGTGTACGAAAACGGGGAAAATTTTGCTGAAAAGAGTGATTAAAACTGAATTGCATGATGATCAGACGAAAATCGGGGTTCCACTGTACAGTGGTACCTTGGGATATGAACAGCTCAAAACTCGAACAATTATGTAAATGTATTAATGTAAGTGCTTTTGTAAGTGTATTTTTGGGGGTCTGAAATTGATTAATCTACTTTAAATTATTCTTTATGGGAACAAATTTGTTTGGTATCAGCACTCGAACAGCCTTCAGGAATGAATTCATTTCATATCCTGAGGTAACACTGTACGGTATCTTGAAATTGAGCTCAAACTAGCGGAAATGTTCGATTTTTGCCGATGTTCAAGAGTAAACAAATGACATCAGCATCCAATACGTGTTCAACTGGCCAGTCTAATGCACAGCCATGAATGGCTTGACATTATTTATACAATTATTACACTTTGCAGTAGTCTACATAACAGTAAATCTTCTATTTTTTGTGTGAATAAAAATTCAAAATTGAAAGCAAACATAATATAAGAGGGGCCTGGAGACATGAATAATAAACAGAGAAAATGTTATTTTAGTGCCAGGAATGTCTGGATTGTTTATTTTGGACCCTATTTTGAAACTGGCATCTGTTGAAATTTGTATGAAATTGGCCAAATTACTGATTTCTGACCACTTTATTGAGTAGATGAAATACGTAAATGGGTGTTTTCTTGCACTCAGTCAACAGAATAGAAAGAATACTAGCAAAATAGCTATGAGTTTGGTAGACTGGAACAATGGAATGGGCCAAAAATAGGGCATAAAGTGGGTGAAATCGCCAATGTGTAAATAACACCGTTGGGTTAAATATTCTAACCTAACCACTGTAATCTGGCAAAATCACTAATCCGGCACCCTACAGGTCCCGATGGTGCCAGATTAGTGTTGGTCAACCTGTATCGTATTTGAAAAAAATTCTTTTAAGACCTTCCTTGAATCAAAACTGATTGTCTCCCATTTTCCAGGTTCTGTATGATCCATACAAGTTTAGCACATCCCCCAAATATAATGATACTAATAGGTAGTCAGATGAAGACAGATACACAAGTCAGAAGTTTTATGCTGTCTCATCCTTACAGACAGTTCAACTGCTGGGTGAGTCTGGACTTAAGGAAGTAAGTAAACTGCTGACCCCAGAGCTTTTGCAGCACATTGTTCTTCGTGGCCCAAAAGTAAATCTGACCTGTGTGAAGAACTGGACTAGAGAGTACCTGCGATCCTCACAGCTGTCTGCCATTATTCGTGGTTGGTGTCTTGTTACTTTACAGAGATTTTTTTTTTCCGAAATTTCTTCCAGTTGGTAATCCCCACATAAATGACAAATGTAATACTCACAAGTAACCCTTTAATTGTTGGTCCCGTTGTATCACGGCTTTGAAGCCAGTGTTGGTCCCGCAGTAAAACACCATAAGCTCAGCTCTCTCAGATAAGCTGTGAGTGGTAAATTTGGGCATAGATATGAGAGAATGGTTCTGTGTGGTAAGTGTGCACCATAAAAAAAGAATCCTGCAGCACGCAGTGTATAATGAGAAAAAACTGTTACTTTGTTATTGGTTTAAAAAGGTGACTTTGCAGTGTATTGTTGTATGGTGTTCATGGTTGTATTCTCATTTTCTTGCTCTCATTTGATGGAATGGAAGATGTATTACAGAAATAGAGATGATTTTGACTAGTTTTGGGAATGAAAGTAGCTTGAAATGTTCGATTTTTTGCCAATTTTCAAGAATAAACAAATCACGTCACGCATCCAATACATGTCAACTGGTGGGTCTAATATGGGTTCATGAATGCGCTATTTTATTTTTTATTAGCACACCGGCCGATTCCCACCAAGGCAGGGTGGCCCGAAAAAGAAAAACTTTCACCATCATTCACTCCATCACTGTCTTGCCAGAAGGGTGCTTTACACTACAGTTTTTAAACTGCAACATTAACACCCCTCCTTCAGAGTGCAGGCACTGTACTTCCCATCTCCAGGACTCGAGTCCGGCCTGCCGGTTTCCCTGAATCCCTTCATAAATGTTACTTTGCTCACACTCCAACAGCACGTCAAGTATTAAAAACCATTTGTCTCCATTCACTCCTATCAAACACGCTCACGCATGCCCGCTGGAAGTCCAAGCCCCTCGCACACAAAACCTCCTTTACCCATCTCCCTCCAACCTTTCCTAGGCTGGCCCCTACCCCGCCTTCCTTCCACGACAGACTGATACACTCTTGAAGTCATTCTGTTTCGCTTCATTCTCTCTACATGTCTGAACCACCTCAACAACCCTGATATTATTTATAAAATTATTACAATACTGCAGTAGTCTGCATAACAATAAATCTTCAATTATTTGTGTGAATAAAAATTCAAAATGGAAAGCAAGTGTAATATAAGAGGAGCCCTGAGACATGACTAAGGAACAAAGAAAATGTTATTGTAGTGCCAGGAATATCTGCATTGTTTATTCAAATTACCAATTTCTGATCACTTATTGGGTAGTTGAAATAGGTAAATGGGCAGTCCCTTGTACTCATTCAATAGAATAAAAGGAGTACAGTGGTACCTTGACTTATGAGTTCCCCAACTTACGAGTTTTTCAAGTTACGAGTTGTTGCTCAGTTGATTTTTTGCTTTGAGTTGCAAGCCAAAATCTGAGTTACGAGCAAAAAAAAATATTTACTGAAAAAGACACTTAACAAGAACCCTGGCCTAAATGGCACAAAGAAAGATGGTTTTGGGACTTGGTACTTATAAAACAAGGCTAATGCGATGTTCTCACTGAGGTAATCGTGTAATTATCTTTAGTTATTCTACAAAAAAATAAAGTTGGTAAGTTTTTGACATTTGCAAAATAACTTGCCCTTTACTCCCACACAAATCCCAAACTACAGTGGACCCCCGCATAACGATCAGCTCCCAACTCGACCAATTATGTAAGTGTATTTTTGTAAGTGCTTTTGTAGGTGTATTTTTGGGGGTCTGAAACGGACTAAATTAATTTACAGTATCTCTTATGGGAACAAATTCGGTCTATAACGGCACCCAAACAGACTTCTAGATTGAAATAATATTGTTATCCCGGGGTCCACTGTATTTGGAATATTTCCAATATTCCACAAGCCAATTGTAGAACAATAATTTTTTTATGATTCCTGTCAATATTATTGCATTTACTTCAAAAATAAATGGTGGGCTTCAAGAAATAAGTCAACTTACTTCTGAGATATTCATCTATCACTGCACTAGGGATCTAGTGCAGTTAGCCTCTAAAAAACTCATTTTCTCTTACCCAGGACCAAAGAACACGTTATAGGAAGGAGCAGTAATGATTTTATATGCTCGGACTGGTCCTGGAGACTCGCCATATTATGGCCTATTTTATTCATTCTAGAGTATGTATCATGTTACTATATTACTTATAGTGTTAATTATGTCATTAGATCAACTCTGATAGATAAGTAAGCCATAGAGTTGATATTAAATTTATATTGAAGTATTTTCTCCTGTCCTTAGGGTGGTTATTTGAGGGCTGGAATGAAATTAATGACATTTCACTTAATTTCAATGAGGAAAATTGATTTGACATATGAGCAAATTGAGTTATGAGCTCGGTCACGGAACATAAGAAAATAAGAAAGAAGGAGCACTGTAGCAGGCCTACTGGCCTACATGGGGCAGGTCCATGTCAACCCCTGGCTTAGACCAATGGCCCACCTAGTCAGGACACCTCCACTTAAGGAAGGAGCACAGCATCTGACCCAGTAGCACCAGCTAGTCAGGTCTAACTCAAACCTACTCATGTATTTATCTAACCTATTTTTAAAACTACACAACGTCTTATTTATTTATTTATTTACATTTATTTAATGTCTTTGCAAACAGTACATTGAGATTGTGTATATACAATAGTGGGTTGCAATGCAAAAAGAGCCTCTATTATGCCTAGGCATTATGGGCCAACTTAAAATTATTGGCTTACATTCTACTTAATACTAAGGAGTAGTATATCATAGTTGTACAGTAGGAAATTAATTATTTCATAGGTGTACAGTAGAATATTAATTATAAATGAATCAAAATTTGTATAATACAAAGATATATTCATAGTAGTAGGTTGGTAGACAGCAACCACCCAGGGAGGTACTACCGTCCTGCCAAGTGAGTGTAAAACGAAAGCCTGTGATTGTTTTACATGATGGTAGGATTGCTGATGTCTTTTTTCTGTCTCATGAACATGCAAGATTTCAGGTACGTCTTGCTACTTCTACTTACACTTAGGTCACACTACACATACATGTACAAGCACATATATACACACCCCTCTGGGTTTTCTTCTATTTTCTTTCTAGTTCTTATTCTTGTTTATTTCCTCTTATCTCCATGGGGAAGTGGAACAGAATTCTTCCTCCGTAAGCCATGCGTGTTGTAAGAGGCAACTAAAATGCCGGGAGCAAGGGGCTAGTAACCTCTTCTCCTGTATATATTACTAAATGTAAAAGGAGAAACTTTCGTTTTTCCTTTTGGGCCACCCCGCCTCGGTGGGATACGGCCGGTGTGTTGAAAGAAAGAAAGATGTATGTGTAGTGTGACCTAAGTGTAAGTAGAAGTAGCAAGACATACCTGTAATCTTGCATATTTATGAGACAGGCAAAAGACATCAGCAATCCTACCATCATGTAAAACAATCACAGGCTTTCGTTTTACACTCACTTGGCAGGACGGTAGTACCTCCCTGGGCGACTACACATACATGTACACATTTATTTATACACACTCATCTGAGTTTTCTTTGATTTTATCTTAATAGTTCTTGGACTTATTACTTTTCCTTTTATATCCATGGGGAAGTGGAATAAGAATCTTTCCTCCGTAAGCCATGCGTGTTGTAAAAGTCAACTAAAATGCCGGGAACAATGGGCTAGTAACCCCTTTTCCTGTAAAGATTACTAAAAAGAATAAGAAGAAAATTATCAAAGTGGGAAGTCGGAATGTGCGTGGATGTTGTGCAGATGATAAGAAAGAGATGATTGTGGATGTTATGAATGAGAAGAAGCTGGATGTCCTGGCTTTAAGTGAAACAAAGCTGAAGGGGGTGGGAGAGTTTCAGTGGAGAGGAATAAATGGGATTAGGTCAGGGGTTTCAAATAGAGTTAGAGCTAAAGAAGGAGTAGCAATAATGTTGAAGGATAAGCTATGGCAGGAAAAGAGGGACTATAAATGTATTAATTCAAGGATTATGTGGAGTAAAATAAAGATTGGATGTGAAAAGTGGGTTATAATAAGCGTGTATGCACCTGGAGAAGAGAGAAGTGTAGAGGAGAGAGAGAGATTTTGGGAAATGTTGAGTGAATGCGTGGGGAGTTTTGAATCAAGTGTGAGAGTAATGGTGGTTGGGGATTTCAATGCTAAAGTGGGTAAAAATGTTATGGAGGGAGTAGTAGGTAAATTTGGGGTGCCAGGGGTAAATGTAAATGGGGAGCCTTTAATTGAGCTATGTGTAGAAAGAGATTTGGTAATAAGTAATACATATTTTATGAAAAAGAGGATAAATAAATATACAAGGTATGATGTAGCACGTAATGAAAGTAGTTTGTTAGATTATGTATTGGTGGATAAAAGGTTGATGGGTAGGCTCCAGGATGTACATGTTTATAGAGGGGCAACTGATATATCGGATCATTATTTAGTTGTAGCTACAGTTAGAGGAAGAGGTAGATGGGAAAAGAGGAAGGTGGCAACAACAAGTAAGAGGGAGGTGAAAATGTATAAACTAAGGGAGGAGGAAGTTAGGGTGAGATATAAGCGACTATTGGCAGAAAGGTGGGCTAGTGCAAAGATGAGTAGTGGGGGGGTTGAAGAGGGTTGGAATAGTTTTAAAAATGCAGTATTAGAATGTGGGGCAGAAGTTTGTGGTTATAGGAGGGTGGGGGCAGGAGGAAAGAGGAGTGATTGGTGGAATGATGAAGTAAAGGGTGTGATAAAAGAGAGAAAAAGGTAGCTTATGAGAGGTTTTTACAAAGCAGAAGTGTTATAAGAAGAGCAGAGTATATGGAGAGTAAAAGAAAGGTAAAGAGAGTGGTGAGAGAGTGCAAAAGGAGAGCAGATGATAGAGTGGGAGAGGCACTCAAGAAATTTTAATGAAAATAAGAAAAAATTTTGGAGTGAGTTAAACAAGTTAAGAAAGCCTAGGGAAAGTATGGATTTGTCAGTTAAAAACAGAGTAGGGGAGTTAGTAGATGGGGAGATGGAGGTATTA